TCCGAGGTATACCTGTATATGAAGGTCAGTAAGGGAAGACAGAAATGAGAGAATCTCATATTTTTCTGCCCTGTGCACATTTCCCTTGATCAAAGAACTTTCGAGTTGAAAAAAATAGTAGCAGGGAGGGACCCAGGCCTAGATAGGACCTCATGTCATAGGTTGAGTCTAGTCTCCTACTATTGCTGACATCACATCATATAATCCTTTCACAAACTTACTGTGCTCCACTTTTAAAGTAATGAGATCTTTTGCCCCCATTATTTTGATTGGACAGCTGTCTGAGTCTCTCATACAGACAGTTACATACCCATTTGTTCTTGTACCAATACTGTTCACTAGCTCAAATAGTTCTTTTCCCTCCCTGACGTTTACCCCTCTGACGTACTTATTGGCAGCAACCAAATTCCCTCTCAGTCTTCGTTTTGCTAGATTAAAAAAGCCAAGCTCTTTTCATCACCTTCTGCAAGATGGACTCTCTATTCTCCTCATCATCCTGATAGCACTTCTCTGTACCTGCTCTGTTTTGAGTTCATTTTCCTTGAACATGGGTGACCAGAATTGTATGCTGTTTTCCAGATGAGGTCTCACCACTGTCTTGTACAATGATAATTCTGTATAATGATATTACTGGAAATACTTTGGCTGATGCAAATGAGATCTGAGGATGTCTTTTTTCATGGTTCAGTATGGGAGCTCAGAGCCACTCTGTGATCAACTAGCACACCAAGTTCCTTATCTTCCTCAGTTCTTTCCATAGCAGAATTTTTTGCTAGTGAACTCTAAAAACATGACCTGGCATTTTGTGTCACTGAATTTGATTTCATTTCTATCATACCAGTCTTCCAGAACATCTACTTCACAGAATCATAGAAAGGAAAATTCTTTACTAATGATAACCTGATCCTCCTCTGTACTGACAATGCCACCTAGCATTGCATCAACAACAGATTTCATATGCACATTCACATTCCTTGGTGTCAGGACCATTAATACATTTTTTAAAAGAAGTTCGGTCTGAAGGCCAATATCTGATCACTCCATTAATAACCACCTGATGTCTCCTTTCATTGCTACAAACTCCCATCGCCCCTTACCCAGTTCTTTACCACCTTGCAGTTCCTCTACTAATCCCAGTCTTCTCCATATTTATTAAAGATTTCCCATTGGATGCTCCATCAAACACTTTATTCAAGTCTTGACAGATAGGATTGCTCTGATTAATTCTTGAATTTCTGAGCACAACTAGAAAGTTGACCTTTTTTTTGTAGTTTATTTGAGATTAGCTGTTTCACTGTGTAGCCAAATTAGTTACATACACATGAGCTAGCACACTACTGTATAGCTGGGGCCAGAAATAGACCCTGTGGGGCCACATCCTAATCCAGTTATTAGGCATTTATATGCAATCCTATTCCATGCTGTTTGAATCCCTGAAAAACTGTTAAAAGATGGATGGGTTCTTCTCCTGGCTGGGTTTTTTTCCGACTCATCAGGCTTAAGATTAGAATGAAGGCAAATAACAAAAGTAGGAGCTTTAATTTTTTTTGAGAGAGAAAGAGAGAGAAAAATCAAGCTGGGTATAACAGGATCACACCTGGAGACTCAGACTCCTAAGAGCCACTTAGGTGTCTCATCCAAGTAGTATTTCCAGCCCTGAGGCCCCAATCCTACAAACATGGGTGGCACCTTGTATGTCCATGTGGAACCCCTGTGAAGTGGATGAAGGTGCAGCAGATGCAAGCATCCATTTGAGCAGTTTGGAGAATCAAGGCCACAGGGTCAGATCCCTCACTGGCAGGCAGAGATGGGGAAGTTGGCTTTTGACTTCAAAGGAAAGTCAGGCTGAAGCTGACTGACCCTGAAGTAACTTAGCAAGAAACAAATTCAAAAACACAACCTCTTCTGCATTTGCTCGATACAAAATTTTTCAAGATTGTAACTCAGATCAAATACATCTTCCTCTGCAGCAGGGCTACTGCACTTTCATACCATACTGCAACTGCTAAATACAGCTGGAGGTTTCGGGCCAGAGCTGTTCAATAAATAGCATCACATGATTGTTTTAAAACAAAAAGTGTATTTCAATCACATGCCCCAAATATGTTTTACTTGAAACAAAAACCAATCAGCTGTGGCAGAGACCAAAGCAGAGTAAACCTTGACCTAAAAGACGAATGTTTTGCAAAGAAATGACTATTTGAAAGCTCAGCTACATAAAGGAAACCTTCCTGCAGTCTCAACTTTAGCTGCTACAAAAATCATGTCTAGGATATCATTCTATTAAAATTAACAAGAAACTTCCTAGACTTACATTGAGTCAACTTTCTCTCTATGAATAAATTGTGAAAGATATTATTCTTGGAACAGAATAAATTCTTGGAATTACTGAGTAACTTATGCGCTATTCCCCTGTTCCAAGAACGTATTACTTATTTTATCATGACAAAGTAAAGTTATTAATCTGGTGACTTCCATTTCAACAATGTGAAATGTTGTAAAATGCACAGACACCTGCATTACAGTACATTTCAGTTCCACTTTATATCAGTCATAAACATCTCTGTTTTGGACATCTCTTCAAAACAAATGCACCTAGCCTACTTACTGTATGTAGCATTCAATTTTATGAAACTATAAAAGTTCTTCACTGTTAATTACACAGACAAATGTCTCATCACACATTTGGTTACCAGGATAATATAATTAGTTTTCTACATTAACCTTTCAAACACAGAGCCTGAATTTCAAGTTGAAAGCATTGTAAAGACATTGTCTTATATTATATGTTCATATCTTTGTGAAGATAATAAAATACAATAGACAGAAGAACACACTCTTAAAAAGCCACTGTGGCTCTACAAGACAGTGCCGGCTTTATGCTAGAGGTGTACAATCTCCTGACCAACTTGCATTCTTGTTTCTGGGGTAGAATAAAAGTGCTGTCACTATTCGCTAAGGGCTATGGGGCTTTACTAGTTCAAACATCACACAAACAGCCTGACCCTGACAAGCCTTGCTCATGGAAATTCAGTGGGGCTGCTTGTCTGAGAAAAGGCATGCAGAATCAGGCTCAGAGACGCTATTCACTTTCAGTTAATCTCCTACTGCTACCTCCTGAAACACTTCACCAGGCTTCAGCGGGAGCTCGATCAGGCCCTTAGTGAGGTGATGTCTTGAGCATCCGAAATTCCTGAATTCCATGGATTAAAGCCACACAGAGCTAGATCCATACAGGAAATATGCTGCCTGGCACCAAAAGAGGAATTCACAGCCCTGAATTAGGCACTTATGTTCTCTGTGCGGTGCAGCAGAAGAAGTTGGTACCTATGGGCATGTCTATACTGGCTCCTGGCTGCTCTCAAGGCTGCCAACAGCTTGACAGCAGAGGTGGGAGGTACTCTCAGGGCATCCTCACTGCCTCAGTTCTGGGTTTGGATCATGCAGAGAGGGAGCTCATGGGGAGGGATAAGATTCAAAGCTCTGGCTCTCCTCCTGGAGTTAGATGTGTGCTCTCTTTCGTTCGCACCATGGTGCTGCACTATCCAGAATGAGGGGAAGGCGTGACTCAATTCTCTTCTACGCAAGGGAATACTTAATATTAAATAGTGAAGTGCTCGGTGGGATGTAATCAGCCTCAATCATAAAGCTAAAGAATCTCTCTATCACCCTCCCCCTTCCTCTGGCCAAATAAACTGCTAATTATCCAAGGAAAAGGTGATCATCATTAACGAGAGGGATCAGAAGTACCACCATCAGAACAGCCTGCATCCTGCTGGTTAGGGCACTCTCCTGGGAGGTGAGAAATGTGGATTCAAAACTTCCTAAAAGAGGACACTGAATCCAGGTCTCTCACATCCCAGCAGAACTCTCTAACCACTGAGCTACCGAATGAAAGGGAAGTTGGTACCACATCCTTCTCCTCCTCCTCTGGAGTTTGTGTGGAATCAATTTCCCGGATAAGCCCTGAGAATACCTACAAGATTAAGGCCCTCAGGAGACCAAGGCTAAGGAATCCTGAAGGGACTTTAGCAAGTAATAGGTGTCCAGATGCTTGGCACCACTGAGTCCAAGGTGTGCCAGAGTATGCCCGGAGGGAGAACTCCAGGTGCTTGGAGAATCGTTACTGCTCTCAACCTAGGTGTCTACAAAGTTTAGGTGGCAACTAAGCAGGGGTCTTGAGAATCAGAACTTTGGATTTAGGCACCAATAGTGAGAAGCAGGACAAACTTAGGCACCTAAGTCCTTTTTGTGCATCTAGCCCACAGTCCTTTTATAGAGATGCTCATCATCTCTCCAATCAGATCTGAGATAAGAGAGGAGCAGGGCTGGGAATGGAAAGGGGGAAAACAGTAAGAAAGCTAAAGATGACAGTGAATAAGCAGCCATGAAAAATGATGAGCAGCTCAGTAACAATCAGTCCTATCAAGCTGTAGTTAGGAAGGCTATATATTACTTCTCTTTCTTTACACATTTTTGATTGTTGATTTAATTTAATTTTGCTATGGCAGGATTAGCAGGCAGGCTACAGAGGTGAAAGGACATTACATTAAGACAGCACATTAATCCCCTATCCCACCCAAGGCAGAAGCAAAAACCAAACAAATAGCAGCTTCCTGGAAATTGAATTTCTGTTATCCAGATGTCAAAGATGTAATACCCCAATTACACAAACTATTGCCAGTGAAGCATGCCAGCAAATATGCAATGTAAATGGGGTGAGCAGAGAGCTGCAAAACTGCACAGTCAGCATCTGGCTCTGAGAGTGAGTGATAATTAGCACTGTGTGTAGACACTAATAAACATTTATGTCTGAAATTACAACTTTTAGCAGTGTTAATAAAGGATATATTGGCAATTCACAGAATAAAAAGGTCTTGGAAAGAACGTCAGATTAAACAATGGCAGACACTTCCTGTGCTTGCAGACATTTTTTACCACTCCCAAATTGCAAATGGCCACGCTGGGTTGCTCAGAAATTAATCAATGCAAGAACATACCTAAAAAAATGGGTTGTGTTTCTTTGGTCTCCCCATTAACATCATTGCTGTAGTCAGAGATCTTGTATACCTCATGGTGGTAATCTGGAATGAAAAACGATAAAAAAAAAAAAAATTAGAATGCAAGCAATCTGGAAAAAATGAACCCGCACACACGGCCACAATTTTACTGTGTAATTTGTCAATATATCTGCAGTTTATTCTATGTTCATCAAATTAACCACAGAAAATGTGCTCTGTATCAGCACCTCCTAAAAAACTTTGCTCGCACTGAAGAGACTCGGCTGAAATATTTCACAGATTTTAGGGAACAGCTATGCCTGGCCTAAATTACTGTGTTCATTTTCACAGCAAATTATCCCACCAGATGCCAATTATCTGGCTTCTTGCTTTACAGATGGAAAGCAAATTTATAATGTAAATGAAAACTTTACCTTTTCAAAAGCTAAGGGAAACTTCAAACTTTACCTCTTAACAAAATTAGTGGTACGCACCGGGGGAGACGTTGCTAGGTCTGTGGACTAATCCTGCACCACTGATGTTATTTGGCTATTTAATTCCTAAGTGCAAAATGCATGGGTATATAGCCATAGAAATTGATCTTACTAAAAAGATATTGCCATCACCAAATGTTTAATATCTGAGTGGTTGGGGCTGCAGATGCCCTGGCCCCATGCTGCGCAGGCTGCACATCCGTGGGCCACATGCTGTATGTGTTGCATGCTGTGCTGCAGGAGACTTACTGCTGTATCTCACTAGCACCCTGCAATGTGGAATGGCCCCCACCCCCTACTGCACTGTGTAGGGTCCCTAGGTCCTCTGAAGTCCCTTGGCAGAGGACCCTCTCAGCCCCTGTCCCACTCCCAGGGGTAGAGGAAAGAAGTGGAAGCTAGAGGAGAGAGAGGGAAAACACAACTCCAGCAGCAGCAGGAGGAAAGCAGTGGGAAGGGCAGTGCCTGAACCACTGCAGGTTAACTCCTTGGGGGCCACATACAGCCACAGGCCACCTGATGGACAGCCCTAATTTAATATACAAAAAGTTGCAGTTCTACCACTATTCATTTTCTATTTCAAATAAAGTAAAACTTGGATGCTGAGGTCTCAGCTTTGATTGCAGGTGTGCATTTGTTAAAAGCAACTCTCTCATTTGCAAACACCTAAGGAGAGAGGAGTAATTATGGCAGGAAATACTGGGAGACAGCTCTCCTGGCAGCTATTTCTGGCTCTGCTACTGATATACTCTATGACCTTGGGCAAGTCACTTGGGACCAGGCAGTATTAAGCACTAAGCAGCTCTTTTGACATGCTGGATGTTTTTAGCTCCTTGTTCTTATAATGGAAATGCAGGGAGCTCAGCATCTCAGAGGACAAGGTCCTTTAATTCCCTACATCTCAGTGTTTCTCTTTGTGGACTGGGTTTTATCAAACTTACCTGCCTCGTAAAGGTGTAATGGAAATTAATTAATGCAAAGAAAAGTGCTTTGAGCTACTCAGATAAAAGGCACAACAGAAGTGAAGAGTATTATGTGCAGTTGCTCCTTTCATGAGAAACACACCTGCAACCCTGACAAAATAATCATGTCCAGAATTTAAAGACCCTCTGTATTAAATCTTTCTTATTACGCATCGTTATTTATGTGTAAAGCACTAGGCATAAAAGAAAGGAAAAACAAAAGATGTGATCCCAGCAGTGCATCAGAAAAAAAATAACATCAATACAGGTGAGAAAGAGAGGGAGAGAAGTGACTATAGGGAAGGATGACTTCTATGGATATAAAGCAAATTTAAGGAGAATGGTGACTAGTCACACTTAATGAAGGTTTGTTTACTTGAAAGATTTTTGGATGGGGTGTGCTGAAGAAGTAAAGACTAACAAGGCTGTATGACATACAGAGCCAAACCCCAGACTTTCTAAGTTGCTTTTCCAAAATAAGAAACCCCACAGAATTTACCAGAGTCTTGTTCTCCAGTCATTAAATTCTATTTATTTTTTCTCCTGTTGATGCAGATTGGGTAAAAGTGTGTATCAGTACCTGGACAGTAGGGACTGGCAGATTAACAAGGTTTAAATTATATGTCGTCTCCAGCAAAAATGATACTGTTCACTTTTGGTCTTTAGCTACTCCCTTAAAGTTACTGCATTTTGCTCCAGAGGTGGCTACATCTCAATAAAAGAATAAAGTGATCTCTACATGCACAGCTGGTATGATCAGGCTGGTAAAGTGCTTTGAGATTCTTTGAGAAGAAACAGGAGAACAATGACAATAGTTTATATATCTTTAAATAAAAACAGCACAGGGCTTCCTCTTCGGTCCCCTTCTGCCTCAGATGTCACAGTCCAGGGCCTGTGAAATCCATATCAATTTCACAACAGTAAACATTAAACTGTGACATTACTGAGTGACTCAGCCAGGAGGCATAGGCTGATTACAAGGGAGACAACAATCATATATATAATTATCTTGGTAATCAACTCTGATAGAAAAGGAAAAATACTAAAAGTACATGAGAATGTAATCTTACTGTACTAAAACACGGTTTTTATCTTCTCGACTCTCTGAGAATCCAAATAAATTTCCTTCAGAAATTGCATTTGGCACAGTTGGTCTCTTTACATTTCTACAAGCAGAAGATTTCCAAGACAAGCCAAGCACAACTACGAATTTACGACCGAACATTAGTTTATCTAGAATTAAATGACGGTTAACGTAGTATTAGCCAAATTCTTAACTTACGTTACAGTGAGACTGTTAAAACTATCTGTTAAATATCTATTTGTCTTTAATTATTTAGGTTATTCTACACTTTTCACAAGTTCCCTCAGCTTGGAAATAAAAATACACTAATCAGTTTCACTTTTGTTTCTCATCAGTTTCACTTTCAAATCCTCGTGCTGCTCTAAGCACAGTTCTTCAACCTTGGGGTCACAAGCAATGCAGGAACAGGTTTATTGCTTGAAAAATAAATGTAGTCCTTGGCATTTAATGTCCCTTCCAGCCCTACTTCTCTATGATCCTTCGTGCATTTCTACTTGTTGTAGCTTGGCAAGCGCTTCTTTGCACAAGCTTGTATTCACCCAGCTGAACAAAAACCAAATCTACACGTTCACCATGCAAACTCTCCACTGTTATGTTACACATTTACTCATATATATAGATATATATAAAATCTATCTTTTAAAATTTCACGATTTCCTCGAGTGAGATGATTTTCGTTTTAGACCCGCCTTTCTTACACTTGTTCCCGCATAACCTGCGGCAAACCTCCCTCCCCCCTTCCTCATCTTGACACAGGAGTTGTGAACCTCTGGCATTTCTTTTCAGAAAGTGTGACATGACACCAAAGAGACTCTGCCTTCAACTTGGCATGCAGGACACATCCGGCATTTCATGGAGATATTTCAGTTCGATACTTTACAAGATCTCCAGCCGGATCAAGGAGGGGGAAAAACATCTCCATCGGCTGCGGTGGCAAGAAACAACCCCCCCCCCCCCCGGCAACCCAGGTCCACCTGTTTAAACCACCCAGACAGCCTCCGATTTTCGACAAGGACTGGAAGACGGAGGTGCATTTCTCTGACGTGAATCAGAAGGAGGGGTGTGTGTGTGTGGGGGGGGGAAGACAAAATTAAAAAATAAAAATAAAATTAAATAAAAAAGCAACCCCCCCTCACCCCCAAATCCAACAAGTCCCACGCCAGCCAGCCCCCCTCCCTCTGCCCTCAAATTAAACGACTGGTGTGGACGTGAAGCCTCTCTCCCAGCCAGGCGTGGAGGTGCGCAGCGGCCACAAGAAAGCGCCCGCGCCCCCATGCAAGAGATAACATTAAACGGGGGGGAGGGAGACCCTTGTCATTCCCCCCCTTTTTAGAATGGTTCAAGGGGGGGGTCAAATTGAACCCCCTCTTTTTGGGGGGGGCAATGAAATGAAACCCAACTTTATCCTGTACAAGAGCTGCCCCTACATTTGAAGCCAGCCCAATCGTGGGGAGAGTTGGGGGGGAACCACACAGACAGCCTCTGCCCTAATTTGGGGGGGTCCTAGTTTGGGGGGGGAAACATAACCACCCCCCGCCTGGCCGCACTTTACCTTGGTTGATCAGTTTGAAGCTCTGGGATTTCCTGCTTCTCTTCCTCTCCGTGAACTCCATGGTGCGCGCAGGCAGGAGCGGGAGCAGCAGCGGGAGCAGGGGGAGGAGAGGAAGGAGGAAGGGGGAGGCTGGAGCAGCTCCGCCGCGGCCGCCAGAGCCGGCTCCGGGCGGGCGG